TATCTATCTATCTATCTATCTATCTATCTATCTATCTATCTATCTATCTATCTCACAGCAATGTAATATAATGATGATGCCAGGTAAATTCATACAAAACTTACTGCAGTGCTCATCTTGAAAATTGCTTGGACAGAACAGTCAAGCCATTAAACTTTAACAATATTATCCATGAACTTGCTCAGAAACATTGTCTTATCAGCTGGAAAACAACTTCAGTGGCTTCAGTCAGCCCTGCCCTTCTTCATTAGTAATTCAGGACAATGAATAAACCTATCATTGTAGCAAATTCGTAAGGACACCCAGAGGTAATGAATAAATTTGCTTGCCTTAGTAGACTAGAAAAAAACTCATAACGACTGCATTATAATAGCAGTAATAAAGTGTCAGTTATCTAACAATCCAGTACTAAACATGCTTGCTTTAGAACAAACATAGAAATACATTCAAATAGATGAAAAACAACTATACCAAGAAGACAGCATTACAGGATGATACATAAGAGATGATTTGCAGTTGTTCTGATTTCCTAGTAGATAGGTTTAGATCAACCCTCTTAACATGTTTCAGAAAAGAACACAGGGACAATGGGAGAGGTATTGCTGTAATTAAACATGGTTACAGTTTTCTTGCAGGTTTTCCCAATTAACATTGAAAGTTCATAACTTTAGAAGTGGGCTGTCTCTCCTTGAAGGAGAAAAACTGAAGGCTAATTATTTATCTGAGAAGAGTTATTGAAAACAATGTATTAAGACAGACAAGTCTTCACTATACAAAGGGAAGCAGGCATTAGGATAAATGCAAGTATTGTCCAAAGCAAATATAATAGCCATTATGAGATGACACTTTGTCTCTTTTAGGACTCCAGAAATCTAGACAATTACTAGATGGCGTCAAAGGGAAACAGAACACTCTTGGCTGCCATTTCACGGCACACTGGATTTTTGCAGCCATAGCCTGCGTTTTTGTTTTTTTTCTTCTGAGAAAGGGTTCAGAATAATTCAGCCAAAGTGAAGGGCCTTTTAGTTCCATTGGTTTTAGTGGGAGAGTTAAGAATATGTACAACTGCCCCTTACAAAAATCAGTTTCACCAAAAAAGTGTTGCTATTTCTGCAGCATGTTCTAAATTGTGAACAGCACAAAATTTATCGTTGTGTAAGCTATACACTGTTGAAATAGGTAAATAATTTATAAGTTATATGAAGGAAGGCGGCCTTTTATTGCTAGCTATAAAAGTCTACAACCCTGCGTAAAAACTGACACTGCTTCGTCTGTTTGTGCATGTGTGTGTTCAAAGGTTTTTCCCCCCACCTAGTTTAAAGTTACTTACGTGATATAAAAGATACGTTTTCACTACAACTTGTTGCCTTCTTTTAAAATGGCAGGAGTGTTAAACATCAATGCCATCACTGTTTCAGAAGATCTGTAGTGGTATGTGGGAAAGACCCTGGGAGATGGGGGAAGAGTTGCTGCCTGGGGAACGGTCAGATAAGAGAGAGCATAGCCTGCAGCTGGATAGTGAGTGGGACAAGAGGCCCGGAAGTGACTCTCCCTAGTTTCTCGACCTGTAAAGGAGGAGAATTGTACTTTCAGTCTTGCAAGATTCTGTTAATGTA